CCTTCTGGAGTTGTCTTCGTACTTCTTCTTTTCTCCATCCTGTCCTTGTTTCTTGGACACCCTTGGATGGGGACAATCAGCCTTGAAGTGACCAGGTTGTCTGCAATTGTAACAGAGAAGCTCACCACTGCTTTCTGTTGTTTTGACCTTCTGGTATGGCTTTCTGTTGAAAGATGGACTCCTTCCATCTTTGGGATTCTTCATAAACTTTTTGAATCTCCTGGCAAAGGCAGCCATATATTCGTCAGATAAAAGTACTGAAGGGTCAAAATCATTTACCTTTGATGTGCTGGCAGTGAGGGTTGTAGTGGTCCTCTCTTCTGGTACATCTTCCTTTTCTTCAGTCATTTCAAACTCATGAGCTTTGAGATCTGAAATGAGCTTATCAGTGGGATAAGTCTTTACATCCTTGCTGGCTTGGACATCAACTACCTTCATTTTCCATGCTGAGGGCAGTCCCCTCAACACCTTCAGGTTGATCTCCTTGGTGGTGAGTTCCTTGCCAAGCTCAGAGATCTCTCCAGTGAGAGTGAGGAGCCTGTCATACATCTTGGAGATGCTTTCACCAGGGAGAAGTTTGAAGTCATCAAACTTCTTGATGGCTATAGTCAGTTTGTTGTCCTTCTCTTGCTCATCACCAGCTCCAATGAGCTCAAGAGTATCCCAGATTTCCTTTGCAGTTTTGCACTTCTTTATTCTGTTGAAGTACCTATCATCAATGGACTTGTAGAGGATGTCCTTAGCAATATTGTCCAGGTTGTACTTTCTTCTCTCTTCAGTGGTCCATTCTGACTTGGCTTTACTGATCATCTGGGGTCTAGTGTTGTCAATAGCATGCTCAGGATTGACCTTCTGGAAGCTTGTGAAAGGGCCAATATCAAGAACTTCCCACATCTCATCATGCAGGGCACAGAGATGTGCTTTCATCCGGATCCTCCAGTCATCAAACTTAAGATCTGAGAACATAAGATTCTTGGACAAGGAGTGATCCATTTTATCAGATAGAAATGAGGTCAAACAGAAAAACAAGTGGATCTTTTGTTCAGCAAATAACCTAAGAGATTATTAGAACAAGGAGGCTCTAATACCACTTGTTGGTCCCGGTTACACTGGATACAGTCTAGAGGGGGGGGGGTGAATAGACTGTATTGGTTTTTAGCTTTTTAAACTAAGTACTAGATTTTACAGAATAGCTTGTTCTGTTGACAGAACAGACTGGCAGCGTATGGGGTTCTAGTAGGGAGTTCTGTTGATTTAGCCTCAGAGAAGCAAAGGCAGTAGGCCTTCTGTTAACTCGTAGGACAAGTTCTGCTGAACACAGATACCAAGTCTGAGGAGTTAGACAGTTCTATCTAAGTGCAAATATTAAAGCAGTAAGTAAATGATACCAGGGATTTTTATAGTGGTTCAAGGAATAACTTGTTCCTTTAGTCCACTGTTCCACTAAGCTGTAAAGACTTCCGTTTACAATGCCTTAGCCCTATCACTTAAGAAGCTCTCCACGTCTTCTTCAAGTGTAGATGTCTCCTGGGATGCACTACCTGGCTTCCTTTAAGACTGGTCCTTTCACTGAGATTCCTGGAAGTATCACCACTTCACTACTCCAGTTACTTGGACGTCCTTCTTGTAGCAAGAAGAGTTTCTGATAAAACAGGGGTTCCTCCAACTAGCTTCGTTACAAAGGATTTGTATGTGATGAGCTTGAAGAGTTGAAGAACACTTGGAACTTTGCTTGAGTTGGAAAAAGTATTTTTCCAACTTCTGCCTTCTCTTGTAAGGGATGATGAAGTGTTAATCTCAAGGAGGCTTTTTGCTTTTCAGAGTTTGAATTTCCTGTATTAAGAGTTGTAGCAATGTTTAGCAAAAATTGCAAAGTTATCCGATTGTTCTTCGTAATGTATCTTTTATACTGAGGTTGTCTTCCCGTTGGAGGAGTAGGAGGACAACTGCATTAAATGAGCGATCAGTTGACTTGACCAGTAGAGCCCGGTAAAGTTGGCGGGTTACTATTTTGGGATAAAGTATTCCTGACATTGCGGCCAATCATCTGCAATTACTCTACGGAGCATGGGGAGCATTAAATGAGCATTTAATGCGCGTACTGTAGCTTTTCCGTTCAATACTCCTAGCCGTTGAAGGAATCTTTCAGTTAATTTCCCGGCTTTGTGGAATTCTTCTAAGTGTCAGACCTTCTGGTGTCTTTAACTGAGAGTTGAACAAAGGAGGTCTGGAGCACTTCTGTTGAGAATATATCCAACAGAGACCCAGAAGGGTTTCTGTCAGAGTAAAGGCTAACAGAGACCCTGAGGTCTTCTGTTCTGGAGCAAAGAACCAAAGGTCCTCTGTTTCAATAATGCCTTACAAGGGTCTTCTGCTCTTGGAGCCCTTCTGCTCAGAAGGTCTTCTGCTCTTGGAGCCCTTCTGCTCAGAAGGTCTTCTGCTCTGAAGGTATTCTGCCAAGTCGATTACACTAAGAACTTTACAAATGAAAATTCTAATACATTAAGTCTAAATAGGGGTACCTTAAAGTCCTAATTAATCTAGCATCATCAAAATCTAAATACAAATATTCCTTACATATATATATATATATATATTACAAAGTGTTACATTAGAGAATGTAACAAAATTTAGAGCAAAGGTATCACACTATACAAATTTAGAATCGTTACATTTGCAATCAATCTGTTGTAACATTTATGGTATGTTGTCAAGACCATTACAGTTGGTCGTAAATTTCGTTACAAGATGTTACATTAGAGCAAATGCAACGCGAGCGAATGTAACGACGAGAAACTATTACATTAAGTCTAATGTAACGGTGTTTTGGACCAAATGTCACGAATTCTGCTGTTACAAAAGACCCGAAAATGTAGTAGTGAGACCATTTGTAGTGAGGCAAAATGTTAAAAAAGAACTCCGTCCATATGGAAACAATGTTTATACTCCTATTCTCGTGCATTTTAGCATCGTCAGTAGAATATACTCAACATATTTTTTAACATACCAATTTAGTAAAACATTAATTAAATTACAACAATATTTCACAACAATAATCCCTACTGAAAAACTTCACAACAATAATCCTAACTAATTAACTGTTTCACAAAAGTAAATCGGGAGTTAACGGTGTCAATTTTCCCGTGTATTTTTTTCACGAAATTGGCGCTAAAAATATATATAAATTTTAGAAATATATTTTTCAAAAAATATTGTTAATGCTTATACAGATTTTTATTTAATTATATTTAAAATTTAAAAAATGTTAATGCAAAAGTTAACATTGTTAGCTCCTGGTTTATTTTTGTGAAATAGCAAAGTAGTTGGGATTATTATTATAAACTTTTCTAGTAGAGATTATTATGGTAAAATATGTAAAGTACAGATTATATAGGCGTCAATTTCACCAGTATTAAATTATTATTAGTAATGTTTTCCTTTTATTTTTTTTATTCAATAATAATTATGAAATAAAAATATACATTTCGATGCAAAAACAAATAATTTCATTAATTTTTTTAACGTTTATCGGTTAACAAAAATGAAATAAAATTGGATTATGGAATATTCAATTATTTGTAACGACTCCATGAATTAAAAATTGAAAAATTGACAAGAATAATCCCACCTTTCACTAGTCTTCACATAATAATCTCACCTTTACGTAATCTCAGAATAATCTCACATTTGCACCCCATCTTCTTTCGTTGGACTCTGACCTGTTGATGACCTGCTATACCATGTTTTTTATCTTTTCTTTGAATACTTTATATAAATAATCCCACCTTTCACAAATCTGCTCAAAACGGTCCCATGTTTTCATTTTTTCTTTTTTCTCCCTAAAATTTTTCTTTCTTTATTTTCATCCCTAGACATTTTTTTATACTCTTTCTATCATTTTTTTCTTATTTCTTTTCCATTTTTATTGTTCTATTTCTCACTCTATTAAGAGAGATTTTGTTTTGTAAAATTTCTCTTGAAAATAGCTTTTTTTTCTCGTTTTCTTTTTCTTTCCGTATTTTTATTTCATTCCCTTTTTATGTTTTTCTTCTTAATCATTCTCTTCTTATTAAAGATCTCATTTTAAAAGTGAAAATTTAAAAGTGGAAAAGTCAAAATAAAAAGAAAACATAACAAAAAGTAAAGTGATAAAAATATCTTTAATAAGAAGAGAATGATTTACGGAAATGAAATAAAATATACGGAAAGAAAAAGAAAATGACAAAAAAGAACTATTTTGAAGAGAATTTCAAAAAAAAATCTCCTAATAGAGTAAAAAATAGAATAATAAAAATGGAAAAGAAATAGTTAAGAACAAAAAGGATAGAAAAAGGAATAAAAAGTGTCTAGGGATGAAAATAAAGAAACAAAAAATTTAGGGAGAAAAAAGAAAAAATGAAATATGTGACCGTTTTGAGCATATTTGTGAAAGGTGGGATTATTTATATAAGGTTTTCAAAGAAAGGGTAAAAAACCTGGTATAGTAGGTCATCGACAGGTCAGGGTCCAACGAAAGAAAATGAAGTGCAAAGGTGAGATTATCCTGGGATTACGTAAAAGTGAAATTATTATGAGAAGACTAGTGAAAGGTGAGGTTATTTTGTCAAATTTCCCATTTTAATACACATCTCTAATGTAGATAGAGATGTTGTGTAACCTACACGGGTACCTCAGTTGGTTGAGTGATGGGAAAGTTGGAAGAATGATCAAGAATCGAATCCCGCAGCGGCCATGTGGAGGTTACAGCTCATGCATGATGAGTTTGACCTCTGGTGTACACGAGTAGTACATCTACCACTATTAAACCGACTGAATCATTGTAACTAACATCATCCCAAAAGTCTTATCGGGTTGGATTGGAATTCAAAGTACTTCTAACAATCAGATTGTGCTGTCAGATACACTCGAACAGCTCGAACTCAATTTTATCACACACCAAATGAATTTTGCTTAATAAGTATCATTAAATTAAATGTGACCCCTATTAAATTTGAGCAACCACTACCTATCTTGCAAGTGGAACTCACACAAACCTCTCTGCTATATATCTTTGTCTCCCAAACTCTGCTGCATGGAATTCTTATGATAACTAATAAATTAACATCACTCCATCTGATCCATCGCAGCCGTCCAATTCATAATGGATGCAATCCTAGTAGCAGTACTATCCATCCTCACTCTGTACGCCCTCACCCACTTGATCAGATCTCTCCTCCGCAGGAGAGATCAATGTTGTTACATGTTAAACTACGAATGTTACAAGCCCATGGACGTTGACCGGCGGTTGACCACCGACAAGTCCGCCACCGTCGTCTACCGGAACAAGAACCTGGGCGTGGAGGAGTTCAGATTCCTCCTCCAGACCATGGTCAACTCCGGGATCGGGGAGAAGACGTATATTCCGCGGAACATTCTAGACGGAAGGGAGGATTCCACGACACTCGAAGATTCCTTGGAGGAGGTGGACGACATCATGTTCCAGACGCTCGACCGGCTGTTCGAGAAGTCCGGGGTTTCGCCGCAGGAGATCGACATTCTGGTGGTCAACGTGTCGCTGCTGGCGACGGTCTCGTCGTTGACTTCCCGGGTGGTCAACCGGTACAAGATGAGGGAGGACGTGAAGACGTTCAACCTCGCCGGAATGGGGTGTAGCGCCAGCGTCGTCGGAATTGACATCGTCCAGCACCTCTTCAAAGTCTACAAGAACTCCTACGCCGTCGTCGTCAGCACCGAATCCATCGGAGCGAGCTGGTAAGTACCGCCGCCGGCGACCGCCGCACTTTTTATTTGTTTTCTTTAGGTTAATGTTTCATGACAGGAATAGCTAGGCGGTACTAAAAGACGAATCAACCCTTGTCTCCTTATTTATTTGAAAGAACTTAAATTTGATAGGTCACATCATTCTGAACCAGATATAGTCCAAAAAACGTGGACATTTGTTTAAAACAACTAAACAATATTTTTGTTTTTTCTATATGCGGTAGGTACTTTTCAAATTTCAAACTAATAACAACCAACGTTATTACTATTATTGTTAAATTTTATTAAATGGGTGTCAACTGTCAACTGCACACTTGAATTAATCTTAATTTATACTATTTTTATAAATTTAGTTCAGATGAAAAGTTAAAAGAAATGATACTATATGTATGTCTCCTAATTAAGTCTACAATTTGATAGGCGCATGGATCGTGAGGAAAAGAGTTTCTTAAATTACAAAATTAATTACATATATTCCTAAAAGAGTTTTATAATTGGAATATCATGTATTTAAGGAAATATGGAGTATGAGTTTGTTCTTTGAGTTCCTAAAATGTTATTTTATGTTGTAGAGTGCACTCTTTGACAGGTACAATTACTTTTATTTAGGAGTATTGAAGTAAATTAATAAAGAAAAAATATGGTAACAAGACTTTATTTTGACTCATCCCAAAAATAGAAAATTATTTGGGTGAAGGAAAAAATAATTTCAAAAGAGAAGAAATTATGCAGGACAAATTGAAATGAACTAAAAACGAGTTATATGAATTATTTAATTAAGAACCCATGACGTATGTGTATTGGAGATGAAGAAAAAGCAGATCAAATTAATACGAGTGTTTTTTTCTCAAAAAAAAAAAAAGGATGACAATCCCTTCCCAGAAGCCCCCACCTCCGAACTCTGTCTACTTGCAGAGCCCCTATGTATTTTTAGGCTATTAACCTTTCATCGCAGTTGCCAGAATTCGAACTCGGGATCTAACCCTTTTGGCACTTCCTCGCTACCGGTTGAGCTACGCCCACCGGTGCGAGTATTTTTTCTCAATTTTTACTTGTACGGGCAGCTGGAAAAGAATTAGAAGTATTTCAATTCAAAAATGTGAATAATGTACTTCCTTATTTAAGAGGGATATATAAATACACAAAAATATATACGGAGTATTTCCTTATTTAAGGATCATACATATCTAGGTTGGCATAATTACTAAAATACGGAGTATAATTAAAGATATAGGTGTAGAAATAAATAAATAAATAAAGAGAAAATTCATCCGTGTATATATGTCATGTACATATGTACTGTGCATATAATTGAATTATAGTACTCCCTCCGTTCCTAAATAAACTTCCAACTTTCCTTTTTCGTCCGTTCCGATTAAAACTTCCACTTTCCCTTTTTGGTAAAGAATTTGTGGTTCACAACATTTCTTACACATTTTTCTCTCTTCTGCACAACTCTCCACCACACAATATCCACTATCTTAAACTTTGTGCCAAACTCATTTGGAAGTTAAAATGAGAACGGAGGTAGTATTATATATATCAGGGAGATTAGATTTTTTTGCCTAGTTTTACTAGTATTATTAATTCTCAATATAACAAAAAATGATTAAGCAAAAAGAGAACACCTAAAAAAGTACGAAGTATTAGGAGACATAGAAAAGATAGGGAATTGAATTATGTGAAATCAAGGTATTGTAATTGCTAGTATTGCAAATTGGAATCTGCTTTGGTTATTCTAAACCAAATAGGGGTCGATATCTATTAGCTTCAATTGAAATTTAGATCTGATCTTTGAACAAATCGTGTTATATGTGACGACAAGATCAAGAAAAATTAAGATTGTTTGAAAGTCAGTAAAAGAATTTTGAGAATATTAAAAACTTAATAATGTGACAAAAACTGATTTTTGGAGATCAATCATGGAAATGCTCTAATTGGGGCTCGTTTTTGAAACAATCTTGAAATTTGTCATTGAGTTGTTTAATTACAATATCATGCTAATGATTTCGGATTAATTAATGATTACAAAAAAAGGTATGTGTCATTGAATATTATCCATAGTTTAACGAGTGACTCGACATTCAATTCATTTAATTTCAATGTCGAGAGACAGTCACACAATTTATTGCCTAGCTAGATCAGATACACATATTCAAATCAATTAAATTGACGTCGCCTCATATAACTAATCACAATTAAGAACAACTCTAATACAGTCATATTTATTTGTTTCTATACTTTTTCAATCTGAAAAATGTACGGAGTAGTTTTTTTTTGTTTTTATTTTATTTTAATTTATTTTATTTTATTTATTATTATTTTTTTTATTTTTTTCTTTTCTTTTTTATTTTTTTACTTTTTTTATTCTTTTTTATGTACGAAGTAGTTTTTAAAGTAATTTCTAATTTCAAGTGAGATTCTTGCTAGGTTAGTTTCACGGAATAAAAGTAATTTCAAGTGAGATTCGTTTTTTTTTGGGAAAACTATCAAATAAGCCCTTGAACTTTCATAAAAAGTGAAAATAAGCTCTTTTATAGGAGGCTCTTTCCGGTGGAATTTTTTGATGAAATTTTTTGAGTATCTTCTTCATTAAGTCTAGTTTATTCAAACCAAATTTCAGCTAAAAACTCAATCTGGAAGGCAGTCAAATGAATTTTTCAAGATAACTGTGCAGTTAGATAGCGCAATATATTTCAGAAAATCATTTGACTGCTATCTCGGTTGAATTTTTAGCTGAAATTTGGTATGAGTAAACTAGACCTAATGAAGAAGATGCTCAAAAAATTCATCAAAAAATTCCACCGAAAACCGCCCCAAATGACGACAGCCGGACAAAGCCCCCTCCTGTAAAAGGACTTATTTTCACTTTTTTTTGAAAGTTCGAGGGCTTATTTGATAGTTTTCCTTTTTTTTAAGTAATGTCCAAACATATGAATACTGACACCTGCGTAAGTAGAGAGTCATGCTAGGGTGTGCCTCATCTATGTATATTCTACAACTGTCAAAATCTGATCTACTATGGTCGGGTTTAATTCGGGACTCGATGTAAAACAATAAAAAAACATCCTAATATTGAACTATTGATGCCAATTAGCGACGAGCTAGAATGAGTCAACGCTTTGGGTTTCAACAGGTATAGCGGGAAGGAGAGGTCAATGATGCTGTCAAACTGCCTGTTCCGGTCGGGCGGGTGCTCGATGCTGTTCACGAACAGGCAGTTGCTGAAGCAGCGGGCGATACTGAAGCTGAAGCACATGGTCCGGACCCACATCGCCGCCATGGACGAGGCCTACGAGTGCTGCGTGCAGGTGGAGGACCCGCTCGGGTACCGCGGCTTCCACCTCTCGAAGCGGCTGCCCAAAGTAGCCACCATAGCCCTCTCCGCCAACTTCAAGGTCTTGGTCCCCAAAATGATCCCCTTGTGGGAGACCCTCCGCTTCCTCCTCGTCTCCAGACTCCAACGCCCCAAGTTCAAGCTTCCTTCCTTCCTTGGCAAAGGTATATACCGTCCCCTCTTTTAATTCCAACATTGAATTTTTTGCATTATTCACACATTCTAATTTGACTATATTTTACGGAGTATTTATTAATGTATTGTCAATTAAATTTTAAAAAAATATAGTTAAATTCTTCTCATTTGAAATTTTTAAAATCTGATTTTTTTAATTTTTTTACTAATAAGGAATGAAAGATATTAATGGTCAAATTTGTGTGTTGGTAAACGTGAAAAGTGGATTGTTTCAATTAAAAAAGAACGAAGGAAAATATCACATTACTTCATTTCTATATGGTGTTTGAATTGTTTGTCTCATGAATTGCTTCATATACTTAGGTGCTTTTACTATCATACAAATTTTCTAGGCATTACATGATTATAAGGTTTGATCTAAGTTTGATCTTTTCTGGCCTCACCTAATCTGATTTTCAATTTCTTTTTCTATCATTTGAGTTTGGTCAATCTCTATATGTTTGACTCTATTCTTATTTGATCTCGTCACTCAAGTCTAGTCAATTTTGATCCCACTTGAATACTTAATCTAGCTAGATTGCTATATATCAAAGAGTCGGTTTTCATATTTGACCCACTTGATTAATGTTTAAGTCAATTATGATTGGCATAGTTAACATTTTTTAGTCAACCAATGTTAAAGATAAACCATTCATATCGATAGTTTGATCAATTTTTAATAACTAAAAATTTACATATTCAGATACTACATTAAAATGTCTTCAAAACTTCAAACTCCAAACTAAAATATAATTAAAAATCGGCATCTTAATTAAGTGAATAATATGAAACCGTTTGACCAAGAAAGTCAATTTTGCAAATCAGTTTGGAACCAAAATAGTACCTTTGTGGCTAGAGTTATTGAAGTTACTATGAAGGACCATTTTGGCTATATTTTCATATAATGTTTTCTTTATTGATGAATTTCCTAATCACAAAAGCTAAGGTACCATTTAAAAAATCATTTACTCGAGCATTTACAACCAAAAAATCATATATCCTGATATCTATATGAAATTTGCAATCTCAAAAGGTACCATTAACATGAAAACTGGGATCGAGCATTTTTGCCTACACCCCGGGGGGCGGGCGGTGATCGACGGTGTGGGGTTGAGCTTGGGGCTGAACGAATACGACCTCGAGCCCGCTCGGATGTCATTGCACCGGTGGGGGAACACGTCGGCGGGTGGGCTTTGGTACGTTCTTTCGTATATGGAAGCCAAGAAGAGGCTCAAGAGAGGTGACAGGATACTGATGTTGAGTCTTGGGGCAGGGTTCAAATGCAACAACTGCGTTTGGGAGGTGATGAGGGATTTGGGGGATCCAAATGTATGGGAAGATTGCATCAATGAGTACCCTCCAAAGAAGCTGGTCAATCCTTTCATAGAGAAGTATGATTGGCTAAACGATCCTTGTCTCAATTTTGTTCGCACACTTACTGCATAGATAATTATTGGAATTGTTTTCATTACATACTGTATTATTCAGGCATATGTTATCTTTTATTTGTTCATGTCCGTACGTACAAGATTGGTCAAAACAAGGTTTATATATACTTTAGGTATATGGGGATAAAAAATAGTGACAATTTGTACTTATTAAATTACCATTTCGTTGGTTCAGAATGCCATACTTGTATTCTTATCATTTTTTAGTTGAAGTGTACAATAAAGAATGGTTCATTATTATTCATGTTTATATATGATCAAGTTATTATTATAATACGGAGTATAGAATTGTCAATTGATTTGAAGATGGTAATTTTAGTTTAGTTCAGATTCAGATTGTAAGCACGTATTTTGTAACAGACTACATTAGTTACAAATTGTGCAACTTAAATTATGCATAATGCAATCACAAATGTCTCACTTATTTTTTGTGGTTGGGTAGTACGGGCAAGGGCGTCTCCAGGAATTTTGGTGCTCCAGACAAAAAATGACTAATGAGATCAAACAATACTTCAAATTAATAACATAATTAAATATGAAGTAATTAAAAAATTATAACAACACTTTTTACTAAATGTAAAAAGAAATACTTGACTTAAAATTGAAATAAAGTATGTGAAAATATAAATTTTTCGAAGAAATAAATAAACTTATAAAAGTACCGCTGAATAACCTATTTTTCTTGCTTTTTTATGTGCAAAATTTTAAGTAAATCACCACAATCAAAAGTAGATAACACTTTTTTTTCTATAGATAGCATAGCGAGCCCGCTTAACCTCTCTTGTGACATTGTTGAGCGGAGATAGTTCTTTATCAACTTCAACTTTGAAAAACTTTTTTCGGTAGATGCAACTATCACTGGAATAGTTAACAAAATTCTGTAAGCAATCCAAGCATGCGGAAAAGAAATATGTATCTCTCTAATGTACTACATCACTTCAATGACTTTTTTTTATCTTCAGGTAGTGACTTGTTTAACAATTGAAGTTCCGAAAATAACTCAATTGTATCAATATCGCAATCATCCCCGTGCTTCAAAAAACTCCCAAGGGTATCACAAGAACGAGCCAACTCTTCGTCACTTATTGTCCTTAGCTTACTCAGATTATACAAGAATCCAAAAGTTTCTTCATATTTCTGTAATTGTTGAAATCTAGTTTCCAATGAACAAATACCATTATCAACAACTACTAAGAAATATGCTCCTCTAAACATGTCTTCCGGTGACTTCATTGGCTCATCAAATGCTTTCTCATCAAAAAACTTCTTTTTGGTTCGAATACGGATGTCACGAAATTGAGCCTCAACGTGTAACTAAATGGCAATATTTGAGCTTCAATTTTGGCTTTTTCAAACCCTTTTTCTCTAAATTCTTTGAAAAATACAATCAATCCTTTCAAGAGACTTAAAGCCACACGGCCAACATCCATATCTCTTTGTTGAAGCACTTTGGTGATTTTGTTCACTTAATTTAATACCTCATACCAAATTACCGTACTAACAATAAAATCAAAGTTCATTTCATATTCAGACAAGGACTTAGCATCACTCAAAGTGCTACATGATTACTACTTTACCAGTTTTCGTCAAATGCTCCAATGCTTGTTGTATTTGTGGTGCCTGAAATTTGATTGCTTTAACGCTAGCAATACGACTTTCCCAACGTGTATCAAACCACGACTTTAGAGTAAGACCTTTTCCATCACGATCTTTGACAAATTTTTTGAAAATTTCCCACCTTTTTGTTGAACCTGAAATTATTAATGGTCACAATATTGATGGAGTATATGGCCCAGGGACCCCCGACCCATAGACTCCTGCTACTCTAACACAGGCCCAATAGGCCCAAGAAGCACAAGAGGCCCGAATCACAGCGGCCCAAGTGTCGAGAAGCCCACGGTGCACATACGGGTACCTCCGGCCCCATGGCCGAGGGCTCCAAACTCCAGGAAACAGTTGATCTTCTACATACAGAGCTACCGGGAGAAAGCGACAAAATCAGAAGCCTTCGGCTACTAGGTAGCCCTCGGCTACATAGAGCCCTCGACTACATAGCCCTCGGCTGTGTACAGACATCGAAGATTCCCATCAGAGACAAGCAACAGCCGCATTTAATGCGGTGTCACATCCCCCCACCGCATTTAATGCGGTGCACATGCGTATGCTAGTGCCGACCCGGTCGAGGTGACCCCTTCACCACCGGATTATTGACACATGTCCTTATCTAGCATTTACTGCTGCTGTAAATAGTGGCCCATTCTCCAATGTAAGGCATCACAACATTCCTTATTCGACTACATACTCTTTCTTACTTAATGCTCTGACTTCTCTCTAGCTTATTCCCGTAATAACTCATCGGATAAGCTACCCCCGAGTACATTATCCATCAAATATATTATTAATCAATAACAAAATAATGACATTGATATATACAAAGATAAATAAATAAATCATCATTTCATTTTCATTTACCCCAGTGCCGCAAAGGCTCCCACCGCAAAGATAAATAACTAACTAAATAAATAAATAAATAAATAAATAAATAAATAAACAAGCAAACAAACAAACAAACAAACAAACAAACAAACAAATAAATAAATAAATAAAATAATAAATAAATAAATAAACAAGCAAACAAACAAACAAACAAACAAACAAACAAACAAATAAATAAATAAATAAAATAATAAGTAAACAAATAAACACCCAAAAAAAGTTTTTGCTTGTGGACAACTCAAATGCCATGTCACAGAGGGAAATATTAAGAGAATGACAACCACATGGCGTGTAAAATGCTCTAGGATATTCTTTTATCACTCTAGCTTGCACATCTTTATTGCTCCCTTTCATGTTTGAACCATTGTCATAACCTTGACCTCTCATATTACTGAAATCAAGCCATGGATCTGAAGTAAGCATTTAAGCTCATCAAAGAGAGCCTCTCCCGTTGTCTCAACTACCTTCACACCTTCACAAATGTAATGAAAAAGCTCTTCAATTCTTACCGGAGTAGTGGACACATTGACACATCTTATTATAAGTGTCATTTGCTCCTCATGACTCACATTCGACGTGCATTCAAGAATAATGGAGAAATACTTTGAATCTCTAACAACTTGAAGGATCTTCTTTTTTACTTCACCTGCTAATAATTGTATCATCTCGTTCTGAATATTATGATCAAGATAATGATTCTGAATCTCTTTCTTGCATATACGCCTAAAGTGCTCTTCCGTTATTGGATCAAACTCGGAAATCATATTGATAATCTTGAGAAAGTTTCCATTTTTCTCATCTCCAATCTTTTCATTATCACCTCGAAATGCAATATTACAAGTACCAAGAGTTTTAACAACACACATGATTCTTTTCAACACAACTCTCCAATACTCCTTATCTTTATCAATCACTCTTCCCTGAAAAGCAGCAATGGTTGTCTTTTTTTTTAATCTTATTTATGCTTCTTTCCAAGCTGCAATGCTACGAATATGGTCATTGCTCAACTCATGCTCTGCAAGTCTATGATGTATATTGTGCCAATCGTTATACCCTTCACCTCGGGTAGTCAATGGGCTTGATACTCCACCTTTCTTAAACAAGACACAACAAATCAAAAGACTTTGTTTTTGGACATTGAATATACTAACCATGGGCGGTCATATTTTTCACCATTTGTCAAGCACCGAGTATAGTGTTTGTCACTAAAACTCCGTTTTTTATCAATGGGGTAATCATGACCAGTAACTCTTATTGGGCCCCTCTCAACTAGAAAATCTTTTTCTTTTTGTGAAAAAGGTACTTTCGAGTTACCTGGATCACATAACTCGGTCATATACGGAGTAACAGGCAACACATCTACAATATCATTCTCAACATCAACATCCGCCTCCTCACCATCTACAACACATCTACCCTCATCCTTGTTTTCATTTTTGTTCTCAAGTTGAACACCAATATTTTTATTCTCATCTTTATCCTTTTCCTCGAGATTTTTGTTTGAGGTTGATGGAGAAGGATTTATTTTTACATACCTATCCATGGAACCCACAAAGATTGCACTACTTCATCTTTTCTTTTCTTAATTTTTCTCTTTGTAGTCTCTGACTCTTATTTCCTTTTTCTCGTCAGAGTAGATAATACAAAATAATAATTTAGCACTAATTATTAGGTATATTATGAAAAGACCGTTTAAAAAGAACAATTTCAGATTATGTTTGATAACCAAATAACTTTAAGAAAATTAAAAGATATATATATATATATATCTTTCGACCTAGGGAGCTCTGGCGATCTTGGTCGCATGGTGACGAAGGCAGCGTGGGCCGCTCCGGCCTCTGGGTCGGGGACGGCAGTTCGTTCGTTTGCGGAGGTTCTGGCAGCTAATAAGGAAATTCCTTTGAAGGTTCCCTTTCGACATAAGGGAATGCCGGCGATCCAATTCTCGGTGGACGAGGTTTCGCTTCTGGCGGAACAGCACCGATTCGCACTAGTAGGATCTTTTGTGAGAGGTCGCCCTCATATGGCTATGTTGAGACAGGAATTTGACAAAATTGGCTTCAAAGGGCCAGTTTCTCTTGGCCTTTTGGATCAGAAACATGTTCTAATCAAATTCACGATGGAGGAGGATTTTCAAAGATGTTGGATGCGTCAAACGTGGATCATTCGAGGCTTTAAGATGAGGATCACTAGGTGGACACCGGACTTTCATCCCGATGTTGAATCCCCAATAGTCCCGATCTGGATAACTTTTGAAGGGCTTCCGATTCATTTGCAAGATAAGCGGGCACTATTCTCCATTGCAGGAATGGTGGGGAAACCACTTAAGGTGGATGCTGCGACGGCCAATCTTTCTCGCCCATCTACAGCCAAAGTATGTGTGGAGCTTGATCTTCTTCAGGAAATTCCAACAAAGGTGCTAATAATGAATGGGAGCAAAGAAATTATTCAACCAGTGACGTACGAAGAACTGCCAGCCTATTGTGTCAAATGTAATAAGCTGGGACACCATAAAGAAGATTGCGGGGTGATCAAAAAGAAAGGGGTGACAAATTTTAAACAGCAAGGAGGTCCGCTCAAGCCAATCTCTAAGGTTACACAATCGGACCAATGGATTCAAGTGACGAGAAAGAACAAAGGGAAAGATAAAGTGGTGGAGATTGGGGAACAGGTGTTGGTTGACAGGGCTGAGACTTCCAAGGATGGGGAGGACAGAGTAGTAGATCATAACACCAATGAAGCAACACATTCCCAGAAGGCGTTTGAGGCCCAAGTGGAGGTCATTACTGAAGAGGGAGAAA